TGTCTCCCTCCAAGGGGAATTGAAGACCTGGAGGTCATGTGCTAGTGGATGTGGGTGTTCTTCAAGCAGGTCAGTGCTCACTCCCAGGGAGCAGCTGCTGCTGTTATTAATAAAAGACGTGTCCCTGCAGGTGGGCCTTCTAGCCCCGTCACACTGACCCAGGTGACTTCAGTGGCACCCCTTTGAGCCCTGCCCGAATTATAGACTCATGAGCAAATAAATAAAGTGGTTGTTGGTTTTAACGTAAAAAATAAAAGCTATTAATGGTGTTCGGTATGTTGGGCTTTGCTCTCTCCCTTCTCTCAAACCTGGGTCTTCAGCACCAATGGGCCTCTGTGTCCCAGCCCCATTGGCGTGTTTCCCGTTGTGGGTCTGTGGCACTTTAGCTGGGGTAAGAAGGAGGCTGACGCAGACCTGGAGGCTGGGTGTGCTGGCTATGTGGGCACTCAGGGTATAGCTACAGCCCCTCTGTCTCTGGTGCTCACGCAGCCCACTTTTTAATCCTTCAAATGCAGCTTTCTGCCTGGACCTCTGCTTCTTGTGGGTGCAAGTGGCAGCAGTCCTACATGGAGGTGATTTTAGGTCCTGGCAGGCTCTTTGCTCCACATTCCTCCCAAGGAATCCAGGAGGGCTTGGAGCAAACTATGCCAGCATGGTAGAATGCTATGACGATAGGTGTTGGGATATCAGAACCACACAATCTTAAAACCATAGCATGTCAGGGCCCAAGGATTTGCAATGTCAGAAGGTAGAATTATATTCAGATTACAGCACATGAGGGTTACAGAAGGTGTGATAACCTGGGCTTATCTCTGGTTCTCAGAGTTCAAAATGAACAGGCCCTCGAGGTTACCTGGTCTTCCCCTGAGCCTGGCTCATGCCTCCAACCCAGTTCTGTCGGTTCCTACATTACTCATTCTGTTCCAGGATGCAAAGTGGTAGAACAAGTAACCAACCACGTCCTGAGAAAGCCCCAGTTTCCTGGAGCTAGGGACAAAATCATCGTTTTTTTTTTAGTGCCTGAGAATGAGACTCCCCTGAAGCCTAGGGTCCAGAGATTCCACGAGACCGAATGGAATAAACTTGATTCTAGGTGATTTGGACTAGTATGTCTTTAAAAAACAGTCTCAGGTGTTGCAATTCTGAGGAGGACTGGGCCCCGCCCTGGAGTAGTTCACACACTGTGGGATGCTCACTGAGCAGGGAGTGCTGAGATAAAATCAGGAGGCCTGGGGTGCAGCATCCACATATACACCCTAGATGTTCAGTGTTGCTGTAAGAAATCTTACAACCTGTGTCTTGGGGACCAATGCAAGTTCAAGAGCCCTCATTGCCAGTCAACATTATCTCTATTCCTAGCAGATACCAGGCAGGCATGCGCCCTAATCCTGGTCCCCAGCAGGCATCACTAATCAATCAGGACTTCTTTCTGCTGAGCTCTGATGTGGTTTTACCATCCTTCACATCATCCCACTCCGGGCAGCCACGACCACTCAATCACAGTTGGCTCATGAAATGGAATCTATTTAACTTCTTATCCATGTCACTTCTTGTGGCCAGTCTCTCTTGCATTTACATCAAATGTTCTCTTCTCTTCAAACAAGAACCTTCCCACCTTCCTCCTCTTCTCTGCAGATGACGTCACCTTCTACTTTATAGAGTAGAGCTCTTATTAGAAACGTGAGGAGGTGCCCCTTCGACCCCAGGCCAAACCCTCTCTCTCTGCTCTGGTCAACCCACTTCCTGCCTTTTCAGAACCCTGGGCTAGTAATCTTTTTCCACTCGTTCTCCTGTCACATCCTCCTTCTATCGGATTCTTCCTATCATGTTTTAAACATGCTCAGTTCTCTATATTTAGAAAAGGTAAGTGGGTGAGGGAAATAATACAGTTACTAACTTTTAATCTTGCCAAGTAAGGGCTTTGAAAGCTCCATTTGCCTTATATCACCATTATTTTTAAAAAGGATGTTTAACTTCAAACACAGTAGAAAGAAGATAATTTCAGACTAAAAGATAAGCCAGCAAATTGCATAAATTTAGCTAATAAAAATTCCCTTAATTGTACTTCTTTTTCTCAGTTGTTTGTAGACCAAAGGAAATAAAAACCCACGTAAGATCTTTGGGGGCCCTTCAGGGTTGGCTTGTCCATTTGTATGATCCTGGCAGTCGAGAACCAGGCCTCCCCTCCCCCTGAGCTTGCTCACTCCTCCATGGCAGTCGATTAGCTCCATAACGTCAGTTTGCACATTGGTCACAGAGAGGCAGGGCTTCCATCTAGGCCCCAAGGTATCATCCAGGCCTGCTTAGAGTTTTCATGAATATCTGTACCCCAACTGCCCCTTAACCTGTTGAATAAACTCCAGAAGAGGCCAAGTAGCGCCTTGCTGCAGAAGCATCACAGATGCTAGGAGAGTATTCTTTTGTGAGCTGTACCAGCTAAAAAGGCAACCTTCTCACAAAATCATCAACATTTCTATACAGCAGGGGCATCATGTATAGGAGAAAGGGTCAGGACCTATACCCAGGAGGCCAGGATTCAAGTCAGAAGTCTACTTGTATGGCTGGTGAAAGCCATTCACCCTCTCTGGGCCTTGGTTTTCATCTGGAAAATGTGCGTAATATAACCCATCTAGTGGTGTTACTATGAAGATCGAAGGTAATATAATCTGAGAGGCTGGAACGGTGCCTGGCACACAGTAGGTGTTTTATTTATTATGAGGACCTCTCTACCCTGGTGGAGTTTTAACCCTATGATCTAGCACAATCTGATGAGGTGGTGTATTATCCCCATTTTACAGACTGGAGGCCAAAGCCCTTGAGAGCGAGATGGCTCTTAGCTGGTGGTGGCAGTGCCATGCTGTACACCCAGGCATCCTGACTCCAAAGCTCTGGCCCTTCGCCCTGAATCTCCCGTAGAGCAGAACAGAGAAGAGACCAGTCTGCACTCATGAGCTCTCAGGCTGGCCCGCAACAGATGGGCAGAACCTCAGCAGGGGCCTGGCTCAGACACCTGGCAAGGTCAGATTGGGGGTGGCTGGGGTGTCTTATAACTATGTTTCTGTTTCCTAAGCTACTTCATGGAGACACCCAGTGAAACCGGACCTGAGAGACCTTTGCATGAGCACATGCATGCCTGGGAGATGGCCGGGCATATTTTCGATGGCACAGGCCCTCTCTCCCTCCCACAGCTTTGGGGGCCTTGTGCCTTCTTTGTGGATGATATAGAGGATGGGCAACCAAAGACAGACTGACTCATGTCCCCAGTGCCCAGTGGTCTGGGAAGGACTGAGATGGAACTGCAGAGGACAGGAGTGTGTGCAGTGGAGAGCGTGTATCTAAAAGGTGACATCCCACTGAAGAATGTTTGGCCTGGACCTGCACATAAATCCTTAACCTGCCACAGGATGTGGGACCTGGGAGTTACATGGCCACAAGAATGCAGTGAGGCAGATGTGGACATCTCTTGCCATGGACTGTGTGTGGACATGCTCCCTGACAATACTCCAACTGTCATAGGACTGCTTAGCTGTCTGGCTGCTTGCGCATAAGAACAAAGCACCTGGATCATTCCTCTTAGGCCAGGGTCTTGTCTTGGCTTTATTCTTGACTTGCCATGAGCTTTGCCTGTGTCCTGGCCTCTGTGGACCTCCTTCTGCCATGGCTATGAGAGGTGGGCAGGCTCGAGCTTGGATGCTGTGTCCAGATTTGAAATTCTTGGGTAGAGGGTAGATTTACAGTGCAGAGTGGGCCATTTGTTCTAGGTGTGACTGAGCCAGAAGTGGCAGCTGCCAGCAAGATATGCACATGGCTCCGGACCTGCTGTTATTGGAGAGTGGGAGACCTTTACTGCTGACCTGACCTAAATTCACCAGGCCCAGAGAAGACCAGAATAGAAGAATCTGGTCAACATTCACTATTTGTCCATTTCTTCAGTCATTCATTCTTTCACACACTCATCAAGCTTAAAACCTATTATGTGCTACTAAAAACACAGGGATAATTAAGTAGTACGTGCCCTCCCAGAGCTCAAGGCGAGATTGGGAGACAGATTCGGCACCCATCACAGGCTACACTGTGGGAAGCAGTGCGGAAGCGGGGAGAGGATGAGTAGGCTGATGAAGGCTTGGACTGGGACAGTGGCAGTGGAAATCAACAGAGTAGATGGGTGTGAGAATTCTTGTTGGTCCATCAATAGGACCGACTAGGGACCAGCTGGATTTCAGAGATGGGGAAGGAACTGGAGCTGGGCATGACGCTTGCATGCTGGCCTGGTGCCTGAGTAAATAGTTGTATCCCCATGGGCTTGGGTTTCAGGAAGAGGGGGTCAGTGTCCAGGGCTGGCCACACTGCTGTGATTTTCATTTTTAGTCTCTCCTACTGTTTCCTTGCCCACAGGAAAGATCAGGGTCTAGCTACCCCCAGATCCTGGGTAGCTTTGGTCCTGAGCCCTGGAACAGGTGGAACGGGGAGGTCCTGCCACTCAAGTGGGGATGTGGAATGTTGGATCTTTACTGGCCTCCCTCAGTGGCTGGATTCACCAGCAGCTCCTCTTAGGTCCAGGGAGGATCCGGGGTCTGGTTGAGCTCTGGGCAGCAACCCTGTTGTGGTCATCATTCCAGAGCAGGATGCCCTGACCAGATGCCCTCATAGTCTTGGCCTGGACTCTGCTGGGGCAGTGGGGCCCAAGGCTGGGCTGGGCAGTGAGAGCTGATTCTGTTTTGGGCTCTCAACATGGCCTCCTTGGGTACAAAGGGGCCACGGAGGTTGTTCTGGCCCTGGCAGGGGTCACTCCCCTTGCCTATGGGGACTATTATGAAAGAACTCTTACTAGAAGCAGGAGAACCATTTAGGGTCCCAGCTCTGCTGAGCACTGTGTGGCTTTTCCAGCCACATTTGGGTCCCACTTTTCCCTTCACGAAGTAGAGGTCAGGAGAAGGTTTAGCAAATCTCCCAGCCCTTAAGGATTTTGTAAATAATCTCTTCCCCACTCTGGCCCAAACCTGCTCCGAAGGCAAAAAAGCAGATCTTGTCTTCGTTCTCCTGCAGAAGTGCCATGACCCTCTTCCCCATCCGCTCGTTCCTCTTGTAGATGAGCTCCTGGCGGAAGTAGCTGTCGATCTCCTGGGCTGTCACCTGCTCGTGCGGCGGGAGGGTGGTGTTGATAAAATTGGGCAGCTGTGAAGGCAAGACAGAGGCTGCCTTCAGTTCTTTCTGGAGCAAGGTCGGCTTCAAATAAACACACGCAGCCCAGGCAGGAGGGCAACTTACCTTTATTAAGTCCCTACAGTGGGCTGTATATTTTGTATATGTTTTTCATCAATTCCAAAACCCTTTGAGATGAGTGTTATTATTCTGGTTTTAAAAATGAAGAAAGCAAGGGTGAAAAGATCTAGAGACATGTGCAGAGTGGCAGAGCCAGGATAAGAAGCCGGGACTGCCACACTCCCATGTGTACCACTCCTGCGTCTGTCTTGTTTAACCTCTAGCTTCTAGATGCCAAGGTCCGGGGGGTGGGACAGAGCTCAGCTACTTCACTACTGTCCCTTCAGCAGCCTGGCATGGCATATACAAGGAACTGGGTTCAGCAAGCAGGTATGGAAGGTTAGCTGAGCTGCCTTATGTGGCAGAAAGGCTGTGGGGTACGGGCTCAGGCTGACCTGGGCTTCAGGCCCTTTTCTGACGTTGCATGACTTTGGCCAAGTTACTTAACTTTTCTGAGCCCATTTCCTCATTTGTAAGATGGGGCCGACAATATTTTTTGGGGGGTTACATGAAGTGATGGGTGCTGTCACTTTGCCCTACAGAGACGAGACGAGGGTTCCTAACCTTGGGTTTTTCCAATGCCTGAGCCCTCTTTAGTTACCATCTGTTGCTGACACTACCTCCCCATCCCCAGTTCCACCACTTCCGAGGACATAACCCAAACCCCTCTATCCTTCTTAAAACTTCAACCTAGGACCACAGCTTCTTCACATAATGATGGCTTGTTTAGCAACCTGGCTTAGAACTATCCAGATTTCTCAGCTTTGGGCCCAGTGTCCACCCCCAGCCACACGACCTAGGGGCCAGCGTCACTGACATGTTCTTGAACTAGAGAGAGAGCTCCTTGAGTTCAGGGACAGAGAGCCTTTATCAATGCCTAGAACACAGCAGATGTTCAATAAAGGTTTCTGGAATCTTCAACATGAAGTTGTGCTGTCCTTTCTCACCATATTGCCTCCTCCTGTGTTCTTCCGTTCCCAGGTATGCTGTCTTTCCCACCTGGATGGCAGGTCCAGGTATTCCTGCACTGTGGATTCCAACATGTGGGTGTGGCCTCAGAGGAAGCCATGGGCCATTGAAAAAACTGAGGCAGTAAGTCAGAA